GATCGGGCCAGGAGGCAGAGGGTACGGCCAGGGAGCAGGCGGTATGATCAGGGAGCAAAGGAGTACGGTCGGGGAAGCGGGAGGGGTATACTCAGGGAGGAGGGAGAGGGGTGCGTTCAGGGAGCGGGGGTACGGTCGGGGGGCAGTGATATCGAGTGGACGCCTCTATACCGGCCACAGGCGACTTCCTCTTCCTGTTAATGTTGCGGCGGGACTGTTGCCGCGTTGTACACCGCTGTGCTGTCCGGCTCCTCCAGCTTGCGAAATGGTGCGGCCCGAATGCTCTGTACTCGTATGCAAGTTATAAGCACATGAGATGTCTGCCCAGAACCGATCTTACCATCCGAGCGCCTATTTGCACAGACAAGTCAATTAAACAACTGCCGAATTGGGCGACAGCTGAACCGGCCTAGGGGACATCCTCGTAAGCCGCATCGATGTCCCCTCAAACTGCACCAACCTTCTCGTAAAACTGCACCAACGTCCATTCAAGCCGCGCCAACGTCACCTTAAACGGCACCAGCCTCCTCTTACACCGTGTCAATGTCCCTTACACTGCGCCAACGTCCCGTTGAATTACACTAACATCCCCTTAAATTGCACCAACGTCCCCTTAAATTTTACCAGCGTCCCCATAAACCGCACCACTAAATGACCGCCACGTGGCGCGGCGTGGAACGGCGCCGTGGTGCGCACCTGGTGCCACAGCACCATCTAACCGGGCGCGGTCCTCGGCGTCCACAGCGGCAAGGACTACACCAAGGTGGACCGATCGGCAGCGTACGCCGCCCGCTGGGTGGCCAAGAGTCTGGTGCGGGCCGGCCTGTGCCGGCGCTGTCTCGTCCAGGTGAGGCGCCGCGCCTCCTCCGGCCGGCTGAGGCGGCGCCCGGCGTCGGCGCGGCCCGTCTTGGCGGGAGGCGTTGCTGGGTGCGAGGCGATGGATCCTGAGTCAGAATTCGCGCGAGCGCCGGTCTGTGTGTTGGTGTGGGAGCGGGAGAGGCTGTGGAGTTTCTGTTCAGTGACCGGCGGCCTTCCTTCCGTCAGCATTATCGTTAATTCTTGTTTGTTAACTTCTTGCTCACATTTATTCAATGACGTTCGTTCAGTTATGTTCGTCATCACTTACCATCGGACGCCACTCGCGTGGCGGACACGAACGCACGCATGGGCGCAAGACGGCCGCCGCCATCTGCGTGTGTCCCGTCCCAGCCGTTCCGTCTCCACCAGTCACCACAGCGCACAGCGCGTGCTGTCGGCGGCCGGTGCCGTTTTTCCGTGTCGGCGCTTGTGACGGCGACGCCGACTGGTCCGGCGCTGTGCTGACGCTGTGCTGTGCCGCGGCCGGCGCTGGCAGGTGTCGTACGCCATCGGCGTGTCCGAGCCGATCTCCATCACGGTGTTCCACTACGGCACCAGCTCCTACAGCCAGCGCCAGCTGCTGGACATCGTCAAGAAGAACTTCGACCTGCGTCCAGGCAAGATCGTCAAGTGAGTGCGAGGCGAGGCGAGGCGAGGCGAGGGGCGCGCCGCTGACCGCGCCGCTGTTGCGGTTCGACCGGGGCGGAAGTCCCAAGAAGCGAGGCGCTTCCTTCGATCTTGAGAGCAGCCGGCGCATGCGCAATGCAGCGCACAGCATCGTCCCGCGTGTCGACTCGCAACCGGACATGCAGGCTAGCGCGAGGCGTTGTTGACCAGGCGGCCAGCTGTGGGCCTCTCGTCGTGCTGATCGCTGCCCACCGGCGCCGCGCCGTCCGCCGTGTGGCCGTGCCGTGCCGTGCTCACGGTGCCGCCCCTCACAGCGTCTGCGCGTCTCCCCACAGGGAGCTGAACCTGCGCCGGCCCATCTACCAGCAGACGGCCAGCTACGGCCACTTCGGCCGCGACTGCTTCCCCTGGGAGCAGCCCAAGAAGCTGGTGCTGTAGGCGCACCGCCGCCGCCGACCGACTCGGAGGCGGAACCGTGCGGCGACCGCTGCCGCCGTCGCCGCCGCCGGCTGCCGGCCACTGACGGCTGACTGGGGCGGAGACGTCGCTGGCTGGCGCCGGGTTGTCCGGCGCCGGCCGGCGCGGCCTCGCCACCGCCGCGCTGCCCTCCTCTCCTCCCCCGTTGTCCTCTCCCCTGTGTCCCTCGTTTTCTCTCTGCTCTCTTGTCTTTCTCTCTCCGTCCCGCTGTCAGGGACCAAGAGCTCTGGCCGCGGCGGCCGCCGGCCGGCTAGAGCTGGCTGGACGGCGCGCGGTCTCACCGTGGAAACGGCGGCCGGCCAGAAACGATCTGCGCCGGCGGCGGCAGGACACCGCCGACCGAGGGGTCGTGCATGCAGACGGACCGGAAGGGTCGCGCATCGTGGCGGACCTAAGGGTCATGCATCATGGCGGACCAAAAGGGTCACGCACACTGGCGGGCCAAAAGGGTCGCGCATCGTGGCGGACCTAAGGGTCGCGCATCGTGGCGGACCTAAGGGTCATGCATCATGGCGGACCAAAAGGGTCGCGCACACTGGCAGGCCAAAAGGGTCGCGCATCGTGGCGGACCTAAGGGTCACGCACACTGGCGGGCCAAAAGGGTCGCGCATCGTGGCGGACCTAAGGGTCGCGCATCGTGGCGGACCTAAGGGTCATGCATCATGGCGGACCAAAAGGGTCGCGCACACTGGCAGGCCAAAAGGGTCGCGCATCGTGGCGGACCTAAGGGTCGCGCACACTGGCGGACCAAAAGGGTCGCACATCGTGGCGGACCAAGGGTCGCGCATCGTGGCGGACCTAAGGGTCATGCATCATGGCGGACCAAAAGGGTCGCGCACACTGGCAGGCCAAAAGGGTCGCGCATCGTGGCGGGCCAAAGGGCTGCGCATCGTGGCGGGCCAAAGGGCTGCGCATCGTGGCGGACCAAAGGGTCGCGCACACTGGTGGACCAAAGGGTCGCGCATTGTGGCGGGCCAAAAGAGTCGCGCATCGTGGCGGACCAAAGGGTCGCGCACGCTGGCGGACCAAAAGGGTCGCGCATTGTGGCGGGCCAAAAGGGTCGCGCATCGTGGCGGACCAAAGGGTCGCGCACACTAGCGGACCAACTGGTCGCGCACGCTGGCGGACCACAGGGAATGTGGCGTCAGGGCGACAGTAGCAGCAGCATCAGCAGCAGTAGCAGCAGCGGCGGCATCAGCAGCAGCAAATCGCCAGCGTCGTGTCTGCCAGGCCGCGGCCGGCCGGCTCCTGTCGGGCTCGGAGGGCGCCCGGGAGCCGGCCGTGCGGCCAGCGGCACTCGTCGGTCGCCGCGCCGCCGCCGGCCGGGGAAGCCGAGGCTCCGGCCGGGCGCGGCAGCGGCCGGCGGCCCGGCGCCCGAGCGCCGGGCAGCGGCGGCAGACCACGCGCTGGTCACCCAAAACAGTGCCTCGGCGTCAAAACCCAGAAAAAAATAAATCGACTTCGCTCTGAACTATGCTTTGCGATTCTGACTTCGCTCTCTCTGCTCTCTCTCTCTCTCTCTCTCTCCCTCTCCCTCCCCCTCTTCTTGTCGTGCTTGTCAAAGCGCGGTCCTCGTGTCCCCTCCTCTCCCATGGCCTGGCAGCGGCGTCCCGTCACCAGCAGCAGCAGCAGCGGCAGCAGCAGCCGGACGGCGGCGGCGGCGGCGGCGCCAGCGCGCCCGCTCGCTCGGCGCCAGCGCGCGCCGGCGGCGGACGAAGCGCCCTCGGCGCGGACCACAGACGGCGGTACGCCGCCTCTGCACACGCTGGCGGGCCGCGGCGGCTGCGGCGCGCGGCGGCGGACGGCGCGCCGGCGGCGGGCGCGGCGGCCACGTGCGGCTCTTTCCAGGCGGCCGCGCCCGTCGCCGTCGCTGCGGGCGGCCCCCGGCGACGCCGCGGGGCCGCCCCCCAGGTCGTCGTCGCGCGTCGCGGCCGGCGCTGGCCGCTGACGCCGGCGTTTGTGTTGTGTTGAGGAAAACTATTGGAAAAGAGCACTTTCCCTAAACACTCCGGTCCTCGCCGAAGGCCCGTGGCGCGGCCGGCCGGGGCGTGGCGTTTGTGGCGCGGAGACGGGTCGTGCGCGCCGTTTGTGGCGCACCGGCCCGCCGTCCGCAGCGCCCCGGCCGGCCGGCGCCCGTTTCGTCCCGCCGCGAAAAGCGGAGCAAGCTTGCTTTTAAATGTCCGTGGTTGCGTTGTTTAATTGCGGGACTGCCCGCCGCCGCCGCGGTGGCGCTGGCGTCGCTGCGGCGCTTCTGGCGCGGCAGCGATTCCGGCGCGGTCGCGGCGAATGCGCGGTTGCTTTGTGCTGTCTTGTGTTCTGGAGAAACTGCTAATACAAATTGTTTCCCCCTTACGTCCCTGTTTTACCCCCCCCCCCCCCCTCCCCCCCCCAGGGGGGCGCAGTCGGCCCGCGAGACGCGTCGAACAGCAAACCGACCGAGTTGCTGTAATTTTCTCCTGCAGCTCCTGGCAGCTGAGCTGCTGCCAGTCTGTCTGAAATAGTGATGGCCAGGGCCGGAGCCTGTTGGCAGGCGGTTGGTTCTGGAGGCCCAAGTCTCCATCGCTCGCTGGCGGGCTCCGACGTCGGTAGGCTCGCGGCGGCCGGCATGCGGGCTGACTCAGGAGCTGGCGTCAGAGACTGGCGGGGTCTGAGGATTGAGGTGCGTTCCCAGAACTAAGGCGTGCGGGTCGAGACTCATGTCCCTGTAGCGCCGAAGATCGCTGCTCTGGAAGGCTCGGTGCACGCAAGCTGCGCCGTGAATGATCGGCATGGAGGGGAACTGCACGGGTGATTTGTGAATTCTCTGAAACTGCGTCCCGTGGCTACTAAGTCCGTGGCGTTTCAGTCGGGTGCACTTCCATCACGAGCAAAGTATTTGCCGTGCGTGCTGTGGTGTCGAACGTCACATCGATCGTTACGTGTTTCGAACATACCGGGACGTAAGTCGCGTGTTCGTTGCGTGTCAGCACACGCAGCACTTGACCAATGGCGGACTACCAGATGGCTTTGCTCATCGTCTTGTCTATTCTCGGCGCCAATGAACAGAGTCGCCGTTTATTGTGTCCCCATGTCGAAGCAGGCGCCTCCTCGGCCGACAACCCACACTAAATACCCACAGAGGATCACACACACACACTGAATACCCACAGAAGATCACACTCGGCCCCGCCTGCCGGAATCCCCAACAATCCCCAACAAAACCTCAGTCCGCCGCACGGCCGTGCGTCCACGGACTTCAGCATCACTACGCTCCATAAATAACGGGCAAGGCACTGGATAAGCAAGAATACGCACTCAAATTAAGAGATCCGATGCCATCGGCTTCACTTGTGCGGCAGTTATTGCATGGCCCGGATGGGTTCACCGACAAATGAAGCAGCACATCTTGCGGATGCGTGGCATTTCAGTAGCTGTTCGGCCGCTGCACTGAAATTCGCTGCTTCTGCGGTCACTCAGCTGCAAGCATCCTCCCCACAGTTGCCTCCCATCCTTTCTCGTGCTGCGTTTCACTGTTTGCCCAAGTCGATGCATAGCTTGCAAGGGTCGCACGAGACAAGTTCACGCAAACGCTCCGAAAGCAGATTTGCTTCAAATCCGCGAACGCCACCTTTAAAGTAATGTTTCGTTCCTTCCTCCCCAGATGACACTAGCGCTGCTTGTTCTTTCTTGCCCGCAGCTTCAACACCATATTTTGCTTGCATTTGGGTGCGAGAGGTGCGCACGGATCGGGCTTTCCGCTTTGGCGTGCCGCCTCTCCGATGGCGGCCGCCTCCAGGTAACGGGTTTCTGTCACGTGGCCGCTATTCCTCCGTTTCATGCTGTGGAGAGGGCTGGATGAGTTTTGCACGGCCAGGAGACATGCGTGAAGCTTGCGAAGCAAAATTTCTCGAATGAAAGCAATCACGATGGTTGGCACTTTGTCGCACTCCATTTGGGATTTGGCTTTGACTGCACAAACACTCACATTTCAAAGGATTACCAATGACCACCCAGTGATAAGTTGGCGCAGTTACTGGCCAAGCGGACTACGAATGGTTACTTGGTTGGACGAGTAATTGATATGGACAATTTGGTTAATTTTGACAGGATCCTCCCGTCCGTTGTCTGATTTGGCCACCATGTTCTAAAATCTTAAATCGCCAACGAAACCACCGCAGGAAGATTCAACGGCAAAGGCCAGAGATCAGACAAACAGATTCGCAGCCCACGTCCTATGACACACATCGTGCAAATGGCGCATATTTCCTGGCGGCAGGAACATGCAACTGCTCAAAAACCACAGTGTGAAACAGCACCGCAGGGCTCCAGAGCAGGTAGCTTGGCTCCGTCCCACTTCAGACGGTTCTCAAGCGGGCTGCGGCGCTGTGTACTTACGGGAGAAAATATATGGGCCATGGTCTTAAGAAGTAGACGAGGAAGGAATAAACGTTCTACCATTTCGCATATGTTATGCAAAACGGCACCGATCTCCTTTCAGCTCATGGGCCCCTTTTCTTCTCAGCGTTTAGACCGGTCATGGTCGCACATATTTGGGGGAATTCGGGTTGAATAGCACTTTCCGACAGGGTACATAACTTTTACAGAGCCGTTTTAGGCCAACTTACTTAGCTTGAGACGAGAGACAGACCACAGAGACAGAGGAAAGAAGTCCTAGGCTGCCAAAATGAGTGGTTGTACTACAGAATAATTTTTAATCCCATCGACATGAGACGAACTCGTCAGTAAACGACCGATTCCGTTCAGTTCCACCCATCATCATCCAAAAGCGTGCGACTTTGCGAACTCATCTTTCGCCTGAAAACAGAATTATGCCTGTGCCTTATATGTGCTTTACGATGCTTCGTAATTCCTCTCCATCACAGCCCTCATCTAGACCTGTCTTCATAATCCGCGTTCACACTTCACTAGCCAAGACTAGCGTTGTTCTCCTCCCGTGGCGCACGTCCTCAACGTCCTCAACGTCCTCAACGTCCTCAACCATTTACATTTTCTGATCGGTCCTCGTGTTCCCTGGGTCGCCCACGTTCCACCTAACCCACCTACGGTCCCTCCTACTTACACCCGAACGGAGAACTGCAGTTAGATGCCATCAGACAGAGGTGGATAGGGTTCAATTCCCAGAGCATGAAACTTGTATTGGCTCCATTTAAAGCATGGAATATTTACGCTAATGGCTTAATTGGAATTATATGCATGTATGAATTGCCTGTTATTAAGAGCATTTAAAAAGGCTTGAGTGGATCGCCCTTTCCAAACGCATTCTATGTTTTCTTTAACGAGGTACAATCATTATTCCCGAAAAGAGCCCTCTCAGCTTTGACGAATGCGAGACGTCTGAATTGTTGCCACTTTCGACATTTGTCTGAGAGTTGTGGATTTTTAGTCCACAACTGTCACATGAAATTGCACGATGAAATTATGCCGGTTACAGAATTATCACATCGAGGGAAACTCAAAAGTGGGTGCTGCCTGCAAAAGAAAAGATATCGAGTAAAGAAAAACAAACTACGGTAGCTTTCGTCGCATCACCCTATGCACGCCTTTTGCACGAATTTTGTTGGAACAATAACTGCTAATATATAATAATATGCACGCATATGCAATAATTGCTAATAAAATAAATAATATGCACGCATTTCAGGAGAGTAATAACAGCTAAAATCAAAAGCAATTATAACTTAAATATTCTTCAAAACTTGTGTTTAAAAGTTGGTGGTCAGTACATAAATCGACCATAGCAATAACAAATAATGCTTGCGTTGTGTACCCAAAGACGTGAAGGATGAGTTTCTCCTCCAGGGTGCGCGAGGCACTGTCGTCGTCGTAGTACTCGCACTCGCAGACGAGACGGCGGAAACAGCCTTTCTTGTCGAAGTGTGTGGCAATCTGGAAGGACACACGACACGGGGCTCAGCGTCCGTGTATACGCAGGCTGCCCGCGCTAAAGACACACGACACGGGGCTCAGCGTCCGTGTATACGCAGGCTGCCCGCGCTAAAGGCACACGACACGGGGCTCAACGTCCGTGTATACGCAGGCTGCCCGCGCTAAAGACACACGACACGGGGCTCAGCGTCCGTGTATGCGCAGGCTGCCCGCGCTAAAGACACACGACACGGGGCTCAGCGTCCGTGTATACGCAGGCTGCCCGCGCTAAGTGTGCTCAGGTAACAACGGACTGTGCGTGAGACATTGCCCATTGCTGTGATGACGACGTTGACGCTGCGATGTCAAAAGAGCTGTAATCAAAATCTACACCACCACCCCGGTCCTTTTGTACATCTTTTCCCTGAAGATGTATGCACTATGATCTCCCCTCGGACCAAACAGCAAGACTCAGTCAACATAAGACATGTGTCTTCTTATTGCGATGACAGCCGTGTCACAGCAGCTGCAACAACAAAACTCACTGCTCGGGATTGAACTTTCGGTGTGACGCTGGTGTCTGAACAATCGACACTATTGAAAGCGCTGGCACTGTTTGGCTTCTATAACAGATATTTCAGCTCAGTGCTCGCAGATAATGCACGCCAATGCATGTAGTATGCGACTCTCCAGACAGCGACTGTGTTTACGTATTGGCGCTGCCTGGATGTTCTTGACTAATTTGTGGTGCTACTTCATTGCAGTTTCCTCCTGAGACCCTGGTACACCTCCCTTAGGATGAATCACACCCACCCATCCTCCCCCGGTTAGAAACACCTGATTTAAAGGTGTGGGTTTACAACACCTCCTCCCTCTCCCCTCCCTCTCCCCTCCCCCTTCCTCTCCCCTCCCTCCCCTCCCTCTTTTTCTCTTCCTCCCTCCCCTCCCTCTCTCTCCCACCTGACCCGCACTCACCTTGACCAACAGCTCCGTGTTCTTCACGTAGTTCTGTGTGCTGTCGGTGGTGACGGCGGCAGGCGCCGGCGCCGGCTTCGTCGTCGTCACCCGGTTGCTGCTGACTTCCGCGCCGACATCGATCACTCTCCTCCCGAGCTGCGCGCGCCGGCTGCTGGAGACGCGCTGGGGCCAGGGTCCGCTATGGCGAGAGGGCTGCTGGTCTGACGAGGGGAGGTACGTTGGTCGGCCGTGCGAGGGCTGCTGGTCTGACGAGGGGAGGTACGTCGGCCGGCCGTGCGAAGGGTAGCGGTCATAGGAGTAGCGGCTGTGGGAGGGGTAGTGGCCGTAGGAGTAGCGGCCGTGGGAGGGGTAGCCATACGACGGGC